TCGGCGCGTGCCATGCTTGAATCGTCGCAATTTTCTTCGGGTCTATTTCCACTCCTGCAGCTGAAATAACGTGTCCCAAAAACTCCAGGCGGTCCTGTAAAAACTCACACTTAGACGCTTTTGTCAGTAGGCGGTTCTCACTCAGTATCTTAAAAACTGCTTCGATGTCCTGTAAGTGCTGTGCTTTGTCAGGGCTGTAAATCAGGATGTCTTCTAGGTATACTATGACGCACTTATCTAAGAGCGGGCGGAAAGCTTCGTTCATGGTCATTTGAAAGGTGGTGTGGGCGTTGGTCAGTCCGAAAGGCATGACTGTGTATTCGAAGGATCCGTAGCGTGTGCGAAATGCGGTCTTAGGGCAGTCGGGCGGGTTGACGCGAATCTGGTGGTAACCCCCTCGGAGGTCAATTTTTGAGAAAACCCGGGCTGTGCGCAGTTGGTCGATCAGTTCGTCGGCTCGCGGGATGGGGTAACGGGATTTGATGGTAACCCTGTTCAGTGCTCGGTAGTCTATGCACATGCGAAATCCCCCGTCTTTTTTCGGTGTGAACAGTATCGGTGCTGCGAAAGGCGACGAACTAGGGCGAATGAATTCCTTCTCGAGCAGGTAATCGAGCTGCTTCCTCAGTTCGTCCAGTTCGGGCTGGGTCAGTCGGAACTGTCGCTGTACTGTTGGCTGTGCCCCCGGTTCTAACTTTATCCTGTGGTCGTGCGGTCGCTGAGGTGGCTGTCCCGTCGGTAAATCGTCCGAGAAAATGTCGCTGTACTGCTTCAACAGTGCTGCCAGGTCACTTGGTACGTCGGCCAGCAGTTTCTGTAAATCCCCTCCTTCGTCTGCTGCCTCGGCTTCCCGAATGTCGACCGCGTACACGTCAGCTCCTGCCGCTACGGCGCGTTTCATCGTGATCGCGTTGACACGCACCGACGAAGACTCAGGCGAGCCCCAGCGAGGTAGGGCGATGTTGTTACCGTTCACCCGCACGGTGCAGTCACCTGTCGTCCAGTCGATTCGCGGATTGTGTCGTCGCAGCCAATCACGCCCGAGTAAAATATCGGTTCCGTCGAGGGTCGTTGCGAGCATTTCCTGGCTAAACGTGAAGTTACCCCCACATCGAATCCGAACCCGGTCTATGCGTTCCCGTATCGCCAGCGACGTGCCGTCTACCAGTCGTGCGTCGATCTCAGGTAAACATTTGTCCAGTGGCAGTCGCAATTTTCGTGCTGTAGCGGTGTTGATGAGGCTGTGGCTGGCTCCCCCGTCTACGAAGATTTTAACTAAGTCCGTCCCGATTTTCCCACTAAGCAGTATGGGGCTGTCGACCGTAGTCCCCTCCTTATTCGGCCGAGTGTGGTCGATTGCGTGAACCGGCACAATCACTCGGTGAGGGTCGGTTGGGTCGGGCAAGCGGCGTGACCTGTCAGTAGAGGATGTCAGAATATTATGTTTCTCTAGTCTGCAGTGGGGTACTCTATAGTGAGTACAACCCTTTTAGGGTTTGCTCTATGTATCCCAATGTTTGCTAGTGAACTCCTCTCTCTTCTTCATTCCTCATTTCTTTACATGCTATCAGAGCATCTACGCTCCTGGCCTGTGGGCCCACCTAACTGCTTCCGCTGCTACTCTGTGCTCTGCACACCCCGTGGCGTGCCCCTCGCGCGACCCTTAGTGGCCCCGTCGCCACCCCTCGCGGCCTCGTCGCCGCCCTTCTCGGCCCCTCGCGGCCCCTTCGCGGCCCCGTTACCGCCCCTTTCAGGCCCCTCGCGGCCCCTTCGCGGCCCGTCGCCGCCCTTCCAGGCCCATCGCGGCCCCTTCGCGGCCCCGTCGCCGCCCCTATCGGCCCCGTCGCCGCCGCCAGCGGCCCCGTCGCCGACCTCTCAGGCCCCTCGCGGCCCCTTCGCGGCCCCGTCGCCGCCCCTATCGGCCCCGTTGCCGACCCTAGCGGCCCCGTCGCCGCCCCTATCGGCCCCGTCGCTGCCGCCAACGGCCCCGTCGCCGCCCCTAACGGCCCCGTCGCCGCCCCTATCGGCCCCGTCGCCGCCGCCAGTGGCCCCGTCGCCAACCCTAGCGGGCCCGTCGCCGCCTCTATCGGCCCCGTCGCCGACCCTAGCGGCCCCGTCGCCGCCCCTTTCGGCCCTTCCTCGACCCTGCCCCGGCCCCGCCCCGGCCATGCTCCGTCGCCAGTCGCGGCGCACCGGGGGCACGTGCACCGCCCCCCCCTCTTTTCCCGTCGCCTGTCGAGGCGACCTGAGGGGGCCGCACCTGGGGGAAGGGGGTGAGCGCCGCCCCTTCTGCCGCCTGTTTTGGCGCCCTGGGAGGCCGCCCGTCGCCCCCCCCCCCCCCCCTTGTACCCTCCCTACCCGCCGTCCCGCCCTGCCCTGTGTTAGGGCCTGGGGGTGGCGAGTAGGAGGTGGCGGGTGTGTGGTCTCCCCTGCTCCTCCTCCTCCTCTGTCTCCCACTGCTGCAGCTGCCGCTGAGGGGGGTGGGTGTGTGGGAGTCGACGGAGTGGTGCTAGGGGGTGGGGTGTGAGTGAACCTAGGGGTGCAGTAGGGGGTGTGTGAAATGGGGGTGGGATAGTTTGGGGAGGTTGAAGGGGGTGGCCGCCGTGAAGCCCGCAGCTCCAGTCGCCCGTGAGACCGTTGCGCCAGTCGCCCGTGAGCCCGTTGCGCCAGTCGCCCGTGAGCCCGTTGCTCCAGTCGCCCGTGAGTCCGTTGCTCCTGCCGCTCAGAGTTAGCCGCAGAGCCAGTTACTCCAGTAGCCCGTGTGCCAGTTGCTCCAGTTGCCAGTGTGCCAGTTGCTCCAGTTGCCCGTGTGCCAGTTGCTCCAGTTGCGCCGTGTGCCAGCAGCTTCAGCTGCCGCCCACTACCTCCTCTCCTCTCATAGTCCCTCCTCCTCCACACTTGCCCTCTGCGATAGCCTCTAGCTTTGCGTACATTTGTGAACTTTAAACTGTTGCTTCTTGTACTTGTGCTCAGAATGTGTGGTGACATTGTGATCCACCCTGAGCTTGTTCTGCTTTGCTTGTTGTGCTGATTACACCCCACTTTGACTATGGGGGTGTGTCAGAATATTATGTTTCTCTAGTCTGCAGTGGGGTACTCTATAGTGAGTACAACCCTTTTAGGGTTTGCTATATGTATCCCAATGTTTGCTAGTGAACTCCTCTCTCTTCTTCATTCCTCATTTCTTCACAGAGGGCCCGTCTGCTACTGACTCCCAGCGTTTCCCTGCTGCTTGGTCTGTTTCTGCTGCTCAGCTTCCCCTTTTCCCTTAGCGTTTTCCGGGCATTCGCTCTTGCGATGTCCTGGCCGATTGCACGCAAAGCAGCGCCCTTTGAACGGTGCGGCAGCGGCATTTGCGGCGACGGCACGTATCGTGGTGCCCTCATTCGTCCCACGAGGCCGATGTCCCCAATGGCTGCTTCCGTAGGACCCCGGTCTCGGTCGGCGGAAGAAATCAAGTTTCTCCGCCATAGCGAGAATTTCTTGAAAGTCGGTGACGCCGCGAAGCTGGATTTCCTGAGCGATTTCCTGCTTCAGGCCGCCGATGTAGCGGTCGATGCGCTCGCTCTCGTGCATATATCCCACCTGCTCGCATAGCGTCAGAAATCCGCTCGTGTAATCTTGGACGGAACCGAGTTGGTGCCAAGTGCGGAGCTTCTGTCGCGCCACGATCGAAGCCGCGATTGGCTCGAAACGAGCGCGTAGACCTGCGGACCACGCGTCCCACGTGCGATACTGGGGCACCTCCACGAAATACGACGGCGCCCAGGGTCCGGTTTGTCCTTCCCGTGTCGGTAGAGTCGCGTAGTCCACCGGCTTCGTGACGATGACGCGCCACCAGTCCATGGCGGGTCCTCGCAGCAACGACACGGCGTAGCGAATTTTCGCCGAATCTTCCGAGACGTAGTTCGCGTCGAAGAAGATGTTCAACGTGAAGAGTCACGCCTGAACGGTAGGACCACCCCGCTGACTTGGGTCAAAGCATGGCGGACGCTGCGGCTTTAGCGGCATTGGCGACGGAAGAGTTGATTCGCCGGCCGGCACTGAAATTGTGACTTGAGGTTGAGTCCTGGCCGCATTCGTCGCGTCGGGGTGTGTCGTGCCGTGGTCGTCGTCTCCGTCATGGTGGACGACGCCATCACTTGCGGCGCTCGCGGGTTGCCCCACACTTCCGTGCTGTGATGTCTGTGGTGTGGGCTGAATCGGAGTGTCAGGTGCTTGGGATTGTGCCCGTGTGAGGTCGTTTTGCAGGGACGAGCGTTCTGCCGTCAGCGTCGTGATTTCCTCGGCGCTCTCGCGGATTTGTCGCAGTAGATCGTTCAAGTGCTCCTGCGTGAGAGTCGTGACGTCGATATGTTCAGCCATTTCGAAGGGCGTCGGCTCGTCTTAGTCTAGGCGCAGTCGTGGCTGCACGCGTTTACGAGAGAACGCGAGGACAGCGGCTCCTAGGTGCTAAGGTACGTGAGTCCCTTAGAGTGAAAAATCAAAAGTTGATTTTCTGGGGTGCGGAGATGCGCAGTCCGAAAGAAAGGGGCTCTGAATACCAAGTGTTACGGGTGCAATGAATCGAAGTAGCGAGAATTGCACAAAGGTGTCAAACGAGTACAAAATGTGAGCGAAGGCATGAGCGAACATTTATATGCGAAACATGCAAACGGTAACGCGGCGCGTGCGAGCTAGCTAGTGCTACGCTGGAAGCGAGGCTCGGGCTAGTCCCGAAGCGTAGGCCGACACGGCCATGCCAGCAGTGCGAGGTTTGGTGAAACAGTGCGCGCTAAGTCGGCGAAGCCCCGTTAGCAGTAACGGGCGAACAACGGCTGTTGCTGTACGCGATGTAGTCGGGCTCCGTAAGGAATGCCGAGAAAATTCCTTACACTGGCATATACTTTATGCCAGCGAAAAAGGGGACATAAACCAAGCAGATGAGACAGTGTCAAGTCAGTTATTCCCCTAATGAAAAAATATATAATCCATCTCGTGCCCATTATCGCTCTTCCAGTTCACAACTGCGGAAGGAGAGTGGTGGCGCTGCACATCCTTTTCGTGAGGCGTAAGTCGGGCGCAACTTGAGAAGACCCTGGAATTAGAACAAGCGAGCGGATACGGGCAGCGAGAAGGAAAGGGTAGAGGGAAGAGAGGAGTGGGATATAAAGAGATGTGAAGGGCATGGAGTAGAGGACAGGGAAGCGAAGAGAGATGAAATGAGAAGAAAGCAAAGAGTGGGGGAGAACAAGGAGGAGAGGGTTCAGTGAGAGAAGGGCGGAGAGATGGCGGAAGAGAGGTGCGCGGGACAGAGGGAAGGGAGAGTAGGAGCAAAGGAAGGTGGGAGGAGGGGAGGTGGGAGGAGGGAAGATGTAAGTGGTATGTGCATGCGACGTGTGTGGGTGACGGGGAGGGGTGGGGTGTGGGAATAAGGGCGGAGATCAGAAGAACGGAAAACACGAGTGATGAGAAGGAGGGGAGGGTAGGAGCAGTTAGGAATGGAGGAAAGGGAGGGAGGGGGAAGGTGGGAAACGGAGACAGGGAAAGAGAGAGAGAGGAACAAGGGGGGGAACGGAGGGAAAGGCAGGGGGATGTGGAGGGAGGGACAAGGTGGGAAACGGAGGGAAGGACACGGGAAAGGGGGGGAAGGGGCAAGAGGGGAAACGGAGGGAAGGACATGGGGAAAGAGAGAGGAGCGGAAAGGAGTGAGTGTGTGGAACGGGAGTGAATGTCACATGTAAGTGTGTGAGCAACAGGCCCGATGCAAGGCGGTTGCCCTGTGTGGACGGTGCCTTCATTCGAGCGATGGGGGGAGTGCGCGACGGATCGAGTGAGCGATGCGAACGAGGGACGGACGACGAGAACCGGAGAGGGAAAGGAGGGACGGGAGGGAAGAGAACGACAGGAGCGAATGCGGGACTGAAGCGAGTGGGGATGAGTGGGAGGGGAGGCAAGGCGAAGACAGGGAAGGGAAGGAGGTGGACAGAGAGGAAAGGGAAGAGAGGAGAGGAAAGGGAAGGGAGGAGAGGGGTGATGGGAACATGTGTGGGCAAGTCGTGTGTGACGCGTAGGGAAGGGGGAGCAGCACGTAGGGAAGGGGAGCAGCGCGTAGGGAAGGGGAGCAGCGCGCAGGGAAGGGGGGGCAGCGCGTAGGGAAGGGGGAACAGCGCGTAGGGAAGGGGGAACAGCGCGTAGGGAAGGGGGGGCAGCGCGTAGGGAAGGGGGAACAGCGCGTAGGGAAGGGGGAACAGCGCGTACGGAAAGGGGAGCAGCGGTAGGGAAGGGGGAGCAGCGGTAGGGAAGGGGGAGCAGCGCGTAAGGAAAGGGTTGCATCGCGTAGGGAAGGGGGAGCATCGCGTAAGAAAGAGGGAGCATCGCGTCGGGAAGAGGGAGCATCGCGTAGGGAAAGGAAGAGGCAAGGGAGGAGAGGAGAAGAGAGGGACTGGAGGAGGGATGGGAGAGGGACATGTGTGATTGAGTCGTGTATGGCGCGTGTGGGTGACATGTGCCTGCGACGTGTGTGGATGACGGGAGTGAGAGCGCGACGAGAGTGAGAGCGCGACGGGAGTGAGAGCGCGATGGGAGTGAAGGCGGAACAGGAGTGAGTGTGTGAGCGACGGGATTGAGTGAGCGATGGGAGTTAGTGAGCGACGGGAGTGTGTGAGCGACGGGTGTGAGTGGGCGATGGGAGTGAGTGAGCGACGGGTGTGAGTGAGTGACGGGATTGAGTGAGTGATATGTGCCTCCGGCGAGTGTGGATGACGGAAGCAGATGAGCGACAGCAGTCTGTGAACGACAAGATTGAGTGACGGACGGGATTGAGTGTGAGACGGGAGTGACTGTCGAGATGTCATAGCCGATTTCTATTGGCTATGCGAGTGTCGGCTAACGCGATATAACCGTCAGTGGCGACGAGTGATTCTAATGATGGCGATCAATCGAGGCGGCATTCTGTATTTGCTGTTGGCTACCAGATCGTACTTGCTATGTGCGGAAAAGTCGACGGGATGTTCCGTCTCTATGTGCTACTAAAGTCTTAGCACAGTACGGAGATGGGCGTAACTATGCTTGGCTAACGACGAGAACTAGGGCTATGGAGCCCACTATGCTACGAGTCTCGAGTTTCAAGTTTTGAAAATGTGAACAGTGATACTAGTTCTTGCGAGGCTCGTCGCTGTTTTTGCTGTGGAGCATTTGGCCAATCACCTTCTGGCCCACCAACTCCCTTCTTGGTGGGTCGCGAGGGAGAAGCTTTCTCAACCTGGTTACCCTGTTCTTGACGAACTCAAGTTCAGGAATCTTGAAGTTGAACCCTTACCATTCTAGACTCAGGCTTAAAGCCCGTATCCCAAATTGCGGACCGCGAGGGTCAAGTTTTAAAAACTTGACGAAGTTGAGTGTCCAAGCTTTTGAGAGTCACGCACTTGCAATTTGGGACTTTCGAAGACAGATTCACTCACTGGGTGGAAAACCGAGGGTTGGCTAGGTCTCGCGAAAAAAACGAACCAATACGAAATTGGAAACTCTCGCCAAAGCCCACACCAGAAAAACTCCCTTCGGACAACTTTTAAAAGCATGAACAATTTGGGTCGCCGGCTTTAATCTAAGCAGTTCTAACATTCTGATGATTGAATCTCACTATTGAGAAAGCTTGCTTCTATAGCAATTGGCATCGTTCTCATTACAATGGTGCTCAAGTACAATGGTTCCTAGCAATAATAATAATATACTATCACATTCAAAATGTCTAAGAACTACTACTCTCTGAAGATGACTAGCATGGGGAGGGTGGGTGGGAATTGAACTTGAGCGATTGTAAAAATGAGAGACGTGGGTGGGGGAAGAATGACCCCAGCCCACATTATATATTCGGAGAAGGCGAATACCGCGCTTCGACGATGCGCGAAATTGCGTTACAATCAGCTTCGCTTTCACAATACGCAAATTTGAAAGCGATAAACGCTTAGAAGTTTTTCATATTGAGAAAGCTTGCTTCTGTAGCAATTGTCATCGTTCTCATTACAATGGGTGACGCTGAGACATGTGCAAGGGGGCGTGACGGCGGCGCTTGAGGGCCCTGGAATGTTGTGCTGGTAATGGCGCATGAGCCGTTGATTGGAGGTTGCGAGAGGCGTCAATCAAACGGTCGGCGGTGGGGGTGACATACATTTCCTTGGCCGCTTCACTGCGCCATAGCCTAGCTGTTTGAAGAGCCGGTCCTCGATTCCTGCGTTTGCCGCTACAGTTGATGCTCCTTTGCGAAAGGAGTGGGTGCCGAGCGCGTGGTCGCCGAGGCCGACGGCGTGGAAAGCTTCCTTGCACCAATTGCGTATTGTGGTATACGATGGTGGTTTGACTGGGAGTGAGTCGCTTGTGGCCAAACCAAACACTCGGATTAATGGCCCTGGTGTGGCAGGACCATATCCTGCCAGTTGGATGAAGCGCTTGGTGCATCGAACAAGGCAGAAGGGTCCCTGGCTTGCAGCAATAGGCACCCATGAGCCCTTCCCCTCTTGGTCGGTCTTCGAGCGCAGGATGAGTAGCCACATGGCACTGTCTTCAAACTGGATATCGTTCCAGCCGATGGCGACGAGATCCGAATACCGAAGGAAGCCGGCGTACATGAGAAGCGGTATGAGTCCTTTTTGAAAGGTGGATGGGTCGTCCGAGCTAATGAAGTGTGCGGCCATGGCGTGCACTTGGTGAAGAGACACCGGTTCTTTGGTTCGGTGGGGCCGAGGGCAGTGGCGTTTGGCAAATTCTCGGACTTGAGATGTCATTGGGCCGATGGTAGGGCAGGGGGGCCCAATCATGCGGTGGGCAAAACCAACCGCCGAGCAAGTGAGTTGCACCACTGAGAAGGTGGCTTGGTGGCGAATGGCGTAGACGAGGTACAGCGCAAGTGTCATATCTTGTGCAGGCAGGAATGGTAATTTAGTCTTTATGCAGAATGAGCGGAATTGCTGCTAGTATGGTTCGTAAATCTTGATCGTAGATTCTGCACGCGTTTGCAGCATCATTGTGAGCAATTGGCTTTGCAGCGAGCGGAGTAATCCTGAAGCGATTAGAGAGGACGTAAGCAAATATGTTAACGGAAGGAAATGCGCAAGGCCATCATCATGCTATGGGGGAGGCCGGAACCTGAGAATGTTGTGGTGTGCTTGCCCGGTGCAAGGCATTGACTTTCGTGAGTAAGTTTCACGCAATCACGGATCGGCGAGGCCCAGGCGGGCAATCACGGATCGGCGAGGCCCAGACGGGTGGCGAGGGTTGGAGAAGTGGCCACCAACTAGCCCCGGGCCAGAAGGGAACAATGAGTGTCAGTGAGGCTTATGTCCTTTGTGCGTGGTGAAGGACTACCGGGATCAATTGTGGTGGTGGAAAAGCGAAACCATGTTCGTCAGCCCAGGATGTTGCGAAGGCATTGATCGCTAATGATTTTCGCAGTAGAATCGAGGGAGCTTGGCATTCGCAGCACTTGCAAAGAGATCTATAGAGTGCGGCCCCCAACGTCGCTCGAGAAGATTAAACCATGGGGCCTTCAAGGTGTAGTCATCTCGGTCAAGAGTCTTCGAGAGCTTGTCTAGCGCGGCGGGCAAACCACTCGCGCAGCTCCTGTGGAGAGAGTGGCTCCCGGCGAGACGTAGCACCCGGAGAACCTCCAGGCGGAGCACCTCTAGGCTCAGCACCCCCAGGCTCAGCACCCCTAGGCTCAACACCCCAAGGCTCAGCACCCCCAGGCGTAGCACCCCCAGGCGTAGCACCCCCAGGCTCAGCACCCCTAGGCTCAGCACCCCAAGGCTCAGCACCCCCAGGCGTAGCACCCCCAGGCTCAGCACCCCCAGGCACAGCACCTCCACGCTCAGCACCCTCAGCAGCACCAGAGTCACCAGTGACCTCGACAGGCTCGACTGCGTCTACCTGGGACACACCTGAAGGGGCAGGACCCTGAGGCGGGAGGGGGTCTACCTAGGGGGGACGTGTTACAAGGAAGAGCGGGGGCGGGGGGAGGGACGGAGTGCGGTAGGGGAAGAGGCGGTAGTAGGGGACCGACTCGTCGAACGTGACGTCCTAGGAGGACAGAACACCACGAGAGGTGGGGTGGTAGAACTGCCACCTAGGCGCGTCAGGGGGGAACCCCAGGAAGACACAAGGAGCAGCACGAGGGGACAGCTTGTCCGCAGACAAGTCGCGGACAAACGCCCGAGATCCCCAGACCCGGATTGCCGACGCATCGCCAACCTTCCCCGTCCACAGCAAGGCTGGGGAGGTCTCCGGCCTGGAGACCCTGGGGTGAAGGTTGATCTGATGCGCCGCGTACCTGACCGCAAACGGCCACAGAAAATGGGGGGCAGCCGCATGCATCATAGACGTACGAGCGACGTCCATGACCATGCCAATGCGGCGCTCAGCAATCCCATTTTGCTGCGGAGAGTCCGGAAGCGTGAAGGTCTGACAGATGCCCCGTGCGCGACAGTAGGCTCTCAGAAGGCCAGAGGAAAACTCTCCGCCTCTGTCCGAGTGCAGACGCAGAACAGGAAAGTCCGAGCCAAAGCTCTGCCTGAGCTGGAGACGAGCTGCGCGGATCCAGTCGATCAGCACCTCAGTGACATCACCCTTGCTGCGCAAGGGGAAGACTGCGGTGTAACGCGAGTAGTCGTCAACAACGAGCAGGAAGTAGCGCTCGTGACCCTGTCCACGGACGCGGGCTGGGCCTCGCACGTCCATGTGAAGCGTCTGCAACGGGGCCTCTGTCGGAGGAAACTGGGAGGAGTGAGGGGCAGCACATTGGCGCCCCTCGACACAGGGGACACAGGTAGGGCCAGGGCCCTGAGGAAGGGGAGGGAGGGACCGGGGAAGACCAGAAACAAGAAGACGAGAGGCCATGCCTCTGAGCCGAAGCAGAGAGGGGTGACCAAGGCGGTGGTGCCAGAGGAGAGTCTCGTGAGACAGGAGACGACACGAACAGGGGGCAGACTCAGGACCAGACCTGGACGCTGCAGCAAACACCTGACCCGACGCAGCTACCCTACCAGGCTCAGCAACAGGAGGAGACGCAGTGGTCAGTGTGTACAGGCTCGACCCCGGCCGACGAGTAAACGTGGCCAGGTGTCGGCCTGTCCGAGCGTCCGTGCAGTGAGTCACCCACTGACTCGCAGGAGTGAACTGGTGAACCCCCGCATCCTGCAGGTCAGCACCACTCACCAAGTTCGTAGAGAACGAGGGGAGGTAAAGACCAGACAGGGTGCCAGAGGGGGCCGCCGGACACGGGAGGACAGTGGAGAAGTGAGCAAGGACAGGGCCCCCAGAGGGGTCTGCCAGAGAGACTGCAACTGACCGACCAAGCGGCGTGAGTGTGGTGCAGTCTCGAAAGAAGGAGCGGGAAGCCCCCGAGTCAAGGGTGAATGTGTGAGAGGCCGGAGCCGACGCGGTACCTGAGAGAGCAGACTCACCCGCACCTGAAGAAG